CGAAACTTATATTAAGAACTTCCTGATGTGGACATAATATTCCTCATCACACTAGTTAGAAATCATGGAAATCCCTTTTTGATTGGAGTTATTGTGTGGACACATGGACCACAGTGGTTCAGAAAGAATGCCACTGCATACCTGCTGAGGGATACCTAGAAAAGGGCAATAAATACTGCTCTGAGTCATTGTGCCCATTTTCCACGAATGGGAGAAAATAATTGTTGAATTTGCAAAGGAAATACTAGGAGGTGTGACTGAAACACTTGCTCAAGGAGGATGGACTTAAGGATTGCATTAAAGTAAGAGAGGGAGGCACAAAAGCCATTGGATTAAGGAAAGGAATTTTGGAGTTTAAGGTCTTGTTGCCATTGGTGGGGCAGAAGGAGAAGTGAATGCACAAAAGGCCAGAGTTGGAAGGGCACAGAATCAGCAGCCTGTTTGACATTCAGTCATTTGTCCCTCTAAAGAATGTGTGTGTACATGTAGTAGACTGGCATATCACAAGTTGTCCTGTCGAAGTTAGCAGATGCACAAAAGAATTAAAAGCATAACACATTGAGATGAAAATGGTGCGCGCACAAAGTAGATTAGAGGGTAGATTGAAAGACATGGGAAAACCAAATGGGATGGAATTCTAGCACTCATTTTACACAACTGTTTCCTCTCGTATTGGTCATTACTTTAAAAGGACTAGAAGGTTTTGTAGTCATTTAAGGATGAATACTGATGGTAAGATATCTTTCTTTTAAATTTGAACAGAATATGTTTCAATTTAGAAAATTGGATGTGAGACACAGCCCGAATTTGTAATTATTTTATTCTTTGTGAGCAATGTTTGTCCTACTTTATACATTCTATTAAGTTTTCATATGTTCAATTGCTTTGAGGTTTAAACCTCAGCATTGATATTGTATAATAAAAGTTATTTAGGCATGTTATATTAATTAGCCATTCTGGAGAAAATAATCAGCAATGGCTAAATGATCAATATGTTAATTTAGTATTATGGTGATAATTTCTTGTTTGATATACATGTTAATCTGAATTGATCAGGAATATAGAGGAGTTGCATATGCTTTCTGGGTTTTAAAAACAACATAAATTTATGCATCAACAATACTATCAAAGCAAGTTTTTGTTTAATTGGTCTGCTAGTTTGTCTCAAATTCCCAATAGTCATTAAAGAATAAGTTGAGTTTTCAGTTGCAGCTTTTTGCATTTTGGGGAATGAAGTTAGAATTTATCTGGTTTTGAAAAGATGGATGTTTGTGCTCAAAATGAACCTAAGCTCATTTTAGAGCCAACGGTTTAATGACTTTTAGCTGACATTTGTTATATATTCCTGAGAACCAATGTGTTGTGGAGGAAGGGTTGGGTGATGGAAATCTGGCTGTGCCTCCAAACATTTAACATGATTTTTATTTTTTAATGCAAGTTATTAATAATTCTGCTTTATTCTGCTAGATTATAAGTCATATGAAATTTTCTTATGCTACAAATCCGTATATGCACAATTCAAAGGACAGGGTTCTTTTCATTACTTAGATGTTGTACTCTGATGACTGCTACTAATCTAAACCATTCTTATGGACAAATCTTTTGCTATGCCTTGTAGCAAGGTTAGGAATTCACCTCTTTTCCCCCAAGGACTTGAGTTCAATATTACAAATGCTCAAAAGAGACCATATGACATGAATGTTTCTGTTGTTTGAATAATTGAAATTTTCAGCTATTTTGAAAGATAATGTATAGGAAGCAACCTGTTAAATAATGAAGCAGAGCATGGAATTGAATAGGTTAAAATTAGAGGTTACTGTACCACAGAGTAAGGTGACTGCTACCTCTGTGTTTGGGGAGAGGACAGATGTATGAGCGTTTAACATAGAGATCATTGTTTGTTGAAACTAGCAAAGACTTGTCAGTTTTATCATATATTTCAATTGTCTATTGTGTGCTAAATCCACAAAAGATATATTTATGTCTGATAAAAATATGTTGTTTAAAACAGAGTTAATTACTTGAGTTTAATGTTGCAGATTATTACTGTTGGGAATATCGACCTTTACTTTTAATGAGGCTGGTAATTGACATTGAAGATGATACAGCAATTTAATTTTAATTGTAAATAAAATGTGAAAATGTAATGGTTCAGCATTAATTTCAAGTTGATGAATACAATTTATTGGACCAAATTTGGTTGGAGCAGGACATCTAACCATGCTCATTATTTGTTCCACTGGCCCTGCACCCTGCAGTTCAAAGAAAGTGTTAGCCATTATGCAGCTGAAAGTGTAAGCTGATAATGCTACAACCAGTGAAAGAGCATTTGCTCAGTCAACAGGATGTGTCCACATTCAGTGAGGTTTAAGGATTGAGAAATAAAAAGGAGATCTTTGGGAGAATGGATGTGGGCAAACTTCACATCAAATCAGATACAGAAAGAGGAATAAACAGGAAGAAAGAAAGATTTGAGATAGTCAAATTTGAAATGTTTGAGAAAGAGAGAGGCAGGTCCTGACCTGAAACATCAACTTTCCTGCCACTCTGATGCTGCCTGGCCTGCTGTGTTCCTCCAGCTCCAAACTGTATTGTCTCTGACTCCAGCATCTTCAGTTCCTGCTATCTCTGAGAACTTGATTAGCAGTTCCTAACATTTGTCATATAATCAAAAGGGTATCAATACTACTGATTGTTGGCCCTAAATATCTGTGGCTGGTTTAATTTGTAACTACTTTGCAAATACAGAAGCGTCAGGGTATTGAACGCTGGTCAGTAAACCACACAAAGCTAATCATGGGGGTGAGGAAAATTTTGGTGTGTACATACTTAAACTTGCACTATCTCTTTGTCTAAAGGTGGTATGCTATTTACATGTAAATAACAGAGAATTGCCCTTGTTATTTTCTACATCATACCAAATTTTCCTGTGAAAGCAAAATGTGCCTTTCCATAGTCTGTTAGCACCTGCAAACAGTAAATGCTGAATCACTGGTTATTTTGTTATAAGCCTTCTCAAATTTTTTATTTGTTGGACTTTTTTGTTTAAAATGTCTTTCCAAAGACTTGTAATTGGATTCCCAATTTTAGTGCTTCTGATGCAGAGAGCTTACAGGGGCGGCACAGTGGCTCAGTGGTTAGCACTGCTACCTCACAGTGCCAGGGACCTGCGTTCGATTCCAGCCTCTGGCGACTGTCTGTGTGGAGTTTGCACATTCTCCCCATGTCTGCGTGGGTTTCCTCTGGGCGGTCCGGTTTCCTCCCATGGTGCCTGATGTGCAGGTTAGGTGGATTGGCCGTGCAAAATTGTCCATAGTGTCTAGGGTGGGAAATGCAGAGATGGCGTAGGGGGTGTGTCTGGGTGGATGCTCTTCGGAGGGTCGGTGTGAACTTGATGCCTTCCACACTATAAGGATTCTATGATGATGATTCTATTGCTGTAATGTTAAGCAGTACCACTCGGATCTTAAAAATTCATTTTTAAATGAGTTAAATTCAATTTTTAATATCAGATCATGTAGTCAGAAGACAGAAGATTTCTTTTCTGGTGTTTCTGTTTTAGTAATCTGCATTGCAATAAACCTATTAACTATCTTCATATTGAAATGCTAACCTGGCTTTAACCTGTGAAGTATTGTAAGTTTGGCAATTACATTTTCTCGTGTGTGGATAGTGTCAGAATTGATTTGCTCTTTAACAAAGAATTTCAATGGCCTCCACACAGGAGTTCTTGCATTCTCTTGTGCAGCTATGGTAATAATTAATTTTTCTGTAGCCTGATCAGAATTAGACATCTGCATAATGGAAAGATTTATTTTCTCATCTTTTTGAGTGAATTTTGAGTAATTTTCTATGAGGAAATGGCAAACCCCAGTGATCAATCTAAACTGAGAGAACCCTTTGCATCCAAGATGCCTGAAGGTGCCAAGATTAGTTTTCTGAACAGCAGCATCTATTTAATATTGTAACCTCCAGATAGTGGATAAATGAAGTGTTGGTTTTAACTGGCTGCCTACACTCGACCACCACTAAAGATGAACTGTGGGTTGGCATTGCTGGTTTGAGGTGGTAATGCTGTCTCCCTCATGTTGCTATGAAGAGATTTTCTTCTCACAGTGATGCAAAATGATAATGTCAGTTCCCGTTCTGACTGGAAGGCAACTAGGAGAGATACTATTGATGGAAGCCACCTTGCTAGGGATCAACATGTGAGGCCTAATTTCAGTGCAATGTCAACCTGGGTTTAAAATTATCTTTAGAGTTCCTTTGGACTTACTGGACATCTTATAATGTAAAGCAGAGACTTTTTTAATGCTCAGGAAAGTGTTCAAACTTTACCGTTCATGAGCAGAGCTCACACTTTTATAAATAAATGTTTAGTGCTTTCAGGCAATTTGGAGTTCATATATGAAAATGCTGCTATCTGCAAGCCGCACTTCATGGTTCTAAGCCTGTTAGAATGCAGTGTGTATTGTGAAAACAGAAGGAAATGCCATTTTGAAAGATTTTTTTTCTGTGAACTACACAGCTTGAATTTATCAAAGCCCTACTTGTTTTATTTGCCATGTTGTTCTGGATGAGACTAGCATCTGTAAATCAACTTAGAAGATGAGAAATTAGAAGAGGAGTAGGCTGTTATAAGGACACAAAATAAAGGACCAGGAGTGAACCATGTGGCTCTGCTCAGGTCATTCAGTATGCTCATGGTGGATCTTCACACACATCCCTAATTTATATTGTGTAATTTACTAACTGAAGGTAATTAAGAAACTAGAAAGGCAACCTTGACATCTTTTTTACGTCTGTGGTTGAATCCGGATATTGATGTCTTTTATGCATGGGTAAATGTTATGTGTAAATAATTAATGTTTGTTCGATTTGGAGGTATAATTTTGAAGAAAGCTTTATGCTTGGATCGGTGAAGCATTTTTATGGGAATGTTTTATATGCTGTGTTGTTTTCTGTCTATAAGTAATTAATTGCACCTATTTTTTTTTCAGGGGTTGGCAAGGTTTAATTGCCCATGGTTGTCATTCACTTGTATTGATTATTGATCCGTGCACATCACAGACAATTCAAGTTTTGGAAAGACACAAAGCAAATGTTGTGAAGGTAATCATTATTGTTCACTGTTTGTATTAACTTGTAATTATATTGCACATCCATTATCAATGATAAATTCGGTTCTTCTCCTTTCTTCCCAATTAAAACATGACCGTTTAGAGAGGCTGTTAGTTAGATTTGAAGGGGATCTGCCAAAGTATTATACATTCATGCTAATGATTACATTCACTGAAATGGATCCTACTGTTTGGCAAATGTTAAAACAAAACAAATTGGCAATTTATTCAACATAAAAGGCTTTTAAAGCACACTGCTCCTTTAACAATTAATTACTCAGTACTTTCACTTTCTATTTTAGAATTTGTAAGACAACTTTCAGTTTTACTAGTGACACATTGTTAAGAACATACGTGCATAAATCACCGAAGGTGTGCCGTCAGGTTGTGAAGACGATTAGTAAAACATATAGTATCCTTTGCTTTATAAATAACAGCTTTTAATATAGAAATAAGGGCATTAGGGTGCCAAGACACACTTTTATTATTTTAGAAGGAGGAAGATGTCTTAAAAACTTAAGCAACATATGAAGCAAGTGTCTCATGCTGCTACTTTGCTCTAAGCATGAGTAATATTATCTAGTATTAAGATGCAGCCATCAAGCTCAAAACATATTCTGTCTTTAGCACAAGTGAGTAATGTGATATGTGAGTGTCAGTGTCAATGTGATGCCAGGTATTTAGGCTGTATGTCCCAATGACTGGCAGACTGTGTCAAAAAAAACATGTCCCTTAAACTTAACTAAAACAAAGAACTGTAGATGCTGGAAATCTGAAACAAAAACAGAAATTGCTGGAGAAACTCAGCAATTCTAATAACATCTGTGGAGAAAAAAATGAGTTAACATTGAGTCAAATGAGCCTTCAGAACACCATGCGACTGTGTGCTCAACCAGCCCGTGCCTGCAAAATTCAGAACATAGTATCCAACATTTGTTGCGGAGAAGAGATGAACCCCTCTGATAATTGAAACCAAAATATTCAGAGAGGCTTGCCCTACCTTGTAACTTGTTAGAGGAAATGTGGGAAAATAGTATAACCACTCCTTTACAAAGGGGATAGTTAAATGAAATAAAATTCCTGTAACTCACTCTACAATCAACAAGTAACAATATATTTATCTAACTCTAACAGTAAATAAATTAACAGAACTACTAACAAACCAAACAATTCCCCCTTAACTACTAACTATTCCTGAATAAAACAAAATTCTAATGGTATGCTGTTTCAACAAATACAAGTTCCACTTATATAAACCAACTTAGTAAAAAAAACTTAAAATTTAGTATCTTGAAATTACAGCCAGGATAAGTCTTCCAGAATGTTCTTTGCCTTCTCCGCTGTCCTCCAGTCAGGGCACCTTTCTCCTTCAAATTCTTGTGTCAAGAACATTAGATAGAAGTGCCGTAGTACCTTTATTTAGATGATGCTTACTCTGAGAACTTAGAGATTTCTGTGACAGCCGGTGATTCTTTCTTTTATAGCTGAGAGCTGTTCTCTTGGCAGATGACAGTTGACTCTCATACCGATTCTTTTATACCCTTAATGATCTATGAATTTCTTACAATAAGATTGGTCCAAGGTTTTCAAAACCATCAGATTTAAACTTAATTGGGTTTTGGTATCTTGGGCCTGGTTTAAATTAATTGGCTAAATTCAAAAACCTGTTGTCTTGGTAAAAATGCTGCTTTGCCTGCTACAGTATAGCTTTTTGATACAATGTTTCAATTTCAAGAACTCTGTGCTTCTGCTACTGCCTGCAGACTTTTTTTCCTAAAAATGAGAAAAGCACATCTTTTAAAGGGACCACGCACTGTTGCTCCCCCTACCATTTTTCAAACAAGTTCTAACATCCCACCTTCCAATTCACAAGTACTATACTAACTTTGCAACACAGTAGATCTGATTCTGCTATTGGATTGCATTTAATATATCATCCTTACGGTGCTAAGAATTACTCCAGAGACCAAGTTTAGATTTTCAGTTGCGTTTGCTGTGTGATTCATTTGCACCTTTTTCACTGATGAATGGCATTGGAAATAGCCAATCCTTGCTGCATCCACATGGCAAAATCTGACCAATCAGATTTGACTTGCCCTTTTTGAATTTAATCAGTTACCTAAGAACGTTAACAGTTGTAGCTGCATCTACATGACAACCTTAGTCCAACCAATCATCTCCCTCTTCTCATGCTTTTTAAAATGTTGCTTCCTTTCTAAAGTTAATTTCTTGCATTTTCATCCTGGTAAGTGCAAGGCAAAATGCTTCAGCTTCATGTGTCTTTTTAACAATGTTCAAAGAAGTTCTGTTAAACTTCTATAAAACTCTGGTTCTCATCAACTGGAGTGTTGTGTCCAGTTCTGAGCACCATACTTTAGAAGGATGTGAAGGCTTTGTAGACAGTGCGGAAAAGATTTACAAGTGTCAATTCAGGCATGAGGAGCTTCAGTTATGTAGAGAGGATGGAGATGTTGGAGTTATTTTCCTTGGGGAATAGATGGTTGAAAGGAGATTTGATGGTGGTATTCAAGTCAGGAGAACCCTGGGCAGAGTTGATCGTGAGAGATTGCTCCCATTGATGGAAGGATTGAGGACAAGAAGGCATGGGTTTAAGATAATTGTCACAAGAAACAGTGATGACACAAGGAGGACTGTTTTGATGCAGCGAGCGGTTAGGATCTGGAATGTAGTCGAGGCATATTTAACTGAGGCATTCAAGACTGTTCCATTTCAGATAATAAGCCATTTCAATCTGTAAGTTTAGAGTACAAACACGCAAAGTAATGGTACCTACATGATAAATGCCCAGTAAACATACCTATAAAAGTTAGGGCATGCCCTTTAAAGCCTGAATGAATTCTTAGTAGAATGGTACTTCTTAATTAAACAAGCCAAATATCCACTCTGAAGCTGAAAATTTTCTTTTATAAGTGTAGAATCTCATTCCTTCAGATTTTAGTTTTTGTTGGCAATATTGAAACAAAGTTGTCCTTAGATGATTTTACATTGAATTAAATATTCAATCTTATAGTTTATGGTTTAAGAATCTGCATGTCTTAGTAATTATCCTTCAATTTGATTGAATAAGGTGATTTACAATTGCTTCCCCTTTTCATAGATCCCTGTAGGGGGTATCATAAAGAACAAAGGACAGAGAAAATTACAGCACAGGAACAGGCCCTTCGGCCCTCCAAGCCTGCGCCGATCCAGATCTTCTATCTAAACCTTTCGCCTATTTTCCAAGGATCTGTATCCATCTGCTCCCTGCCCATTCATGTTTCTGTCGAGATACATCTTAAATGATGCTATCGTGCCCGCCTCTACCACCTCCGCTGGCAACGCGTTCCAGGCATCCACCACCCTCTGATTAAAGAACTTTCCACGCATATCTCCCTTAAACTTTTCCCCTCTCACCTTGAAATCATGACCCCTAGTAATTGAGTCCCCCAATCTGGGGAGAAAAGCTTCTTGCTATCCAGCCTGTCTATACCTCTCATGATTTTGTAGACCTCAATCAGGTCCCCCCTCAACCTCTGTCTTTCTAATGTAAATAATCCTAATCTACTCAACCTCTCTTCATAGCTAGCACCCTCCATACCAGGCAGCTTCCTGGTGAACCTCCTCTGCACCCTCTCCAAAGCATCCACATCCTTTTGGTAACGTGGCGACCAGAACTGTACGCAGTATTCCAAATGTGGTCGAACCACAATCCTACACAACTGCAACATGACCTACCAACTCTTGTACTCAATAGCCCATCTGATGAATGAAAGCATGCCGTATGCCGCCTTGACCTCTCTATCGACCTGCGTTGCCACCTTCAGGGTACAATGGACCTGAACACCCAGATTTCTCGGTGCATCAATTTTCCCCAGGGCTTTTCCATTTACCATATAGTTCGCTCTTGAATTGGATCCTCCAAAATGCATCACCTCGCATTTGCCTGGATTGAACTCCATCTGCCATTTCTCTGCCCAACTCTCCAATCTATCTATATTCTGCTGCATTCTCCGACAGTCCCCTTCACTATCTGCTACTCTACCAATCTTAGTGTCATCTGCAAACTTGCTAATCAGACCATCTATACCTTCCTCCAGATCATTTATGTATATCACGAACAACAGTGGTCCCAATACGGATTCCTGTGGAACACCACTGGTCACAGTTCTCCATTTTGAGAAACTCCCTTCCACTACAACTCTCTGCCTCCTGTTGCCCAGCCAGTTCTCTATCCATCAGCTAGTCCACCCTGGACCCCATGCGACTTCACTTTCTCCATCAGCCTACCATGGGAAACCTTATCAAACACCTTACTGAAGTCCATGTATATGACATCTACAGCCCTTCCCTAATCTATCAACTTTGTCACTTCCTCAAAGAATTCTATCAAGTTGGTAAGACATGACCTTCCCTGCACAAAACCATGCTGCCTATCACTAATAAGCCCATTTTCTTCCAAATGTAAATAGATCCTATCCCTCAGTATCTTCTCCAGCTGCTTCCCCACCACTGACGTCAGGCTCACCAATCTATAACTACCTGGATTATCCTTGCTACCCTTCTTAAACAAGGGAACAACATTAGCAATTCTCCAATCCTCCGGGACCTCAGCTGTGCTCAAGGATGCTGATTTTGACTTCTAATAGCCACAAACTCCAGTGCAAAGGCCACAGAAAGCCTGTGGGAAGTGGGATTGCAAGGCATGGTTGGAACTGTTTGTACTCTGATCACAGAATCCAGGCTTTCATGTTCCTCCAAGTGCTTTAATTTTCACAAGTTATGAATTAAAATAATTTGCAGATATTTATCTGTCAGTGCTATTTTATGTTTATTTTATCTTTGGTTTCTGGAGGTAATCTTGGAATCAGTATTTGGTGGAAAATGCTGAAAACATTGAGTGAGTCAGGCAGCAACTTTGGAGGGAGAAAGGTATGGGCAATATTTCTGTTGGTGCCTTGAAATATTTACCCTGCATTCTTTTGTCCAGGATTGTACCTAGCTACTGAGTGATTCTCGTATTTTCTGTTTCCATTTTGAGATTGCCAGCATTTTGTTATGTTTTGCCTATGTTTCAGTTTTTGGCACCTCCCTGAAAGCAGTTAATATGGTTTTGAAAAATTACCAGTCAATATTCATCAACTACTAATCAGATTTTAATTATGCATGTCATTAAGTGGCTATATTTTGCAGCATGCTTGTCATTTAAACAAAGCTAGTAATTAATAGATTTGATTGATTTTGTGCTCTTTAATTATATGTATTCTGAGCATAATTTGCATGGTTGAAAGAAATGTGTGAGCTAGTGAAGGATGTGACAAATGAGCAGCAGATGGTAACAAAATTGTTTGCTTGTACTTCTGCAACTCTTTTATGCTCAGAGCTATCAGTTTAAGTTGAAAGTTTGTTGAAAGGTAAGTGAGTATTCTGCAAGAAAGAAGAGTTGAATCAGTTTGAAACTCGTAAATGAGGAGGAACACCTGAAGAATGTTGGGTATCCCATTAATGAAAAACATTGTCAAGGGTAAACATGTTCTCCGGTTACTTTTCAAAGGGATCTGCAGCGTCAAAATGTGCATTAAGGAGTTACTAATTTGTGGTCTATTCACTGTTAGTCTTAGGGAGAGCAGGGAAAATCAGTAAAGTAGCATTACTTAGGAAGTTGTCTTTGATACGTCAGTATGAAATTTGTCACAAATGGATAAATCATCCAAACATTAAGATGACTAATTTCATGATTGTTTTTGATCATTATTAAGGCCAAGGCTGATTTGCTATTGACTTACCCATAATCAGTTAATTTTAGGGGCTGTAATGTAATATCCATCCTGGATTCTTCACCGTGTTTAGGAAGTAAAGAATGCATCAAATATGAATGTTATCAATCAGGTTACTTTGTAGAAGTATGCTGTACATTCTTTGGAAACCAAATGTGTCTTATCTACAAGATCTGGTCTGGACAAGTGTCAGCTAGGAAGGCAACATGTTCACTAGACAAATGAAAGAGGACTAATGGGGAAAATGTGATGGGATTATAATTAATGCTCTTGGACATACGTTTCCCTTGTCTAGCTATCCTCTCCATATAATTAGTCCAAAACAATAATCTTCATTAGCTGCTACACAGGAACTGAATTTTTTCTATTCGTTGAATTGATGTCAGTTTGCCATTTGAATCTGGGAGGTGGTGTGTATTATTGTGTTGATGTTAATGCTTTTGATCTAAGTCAGATTTGGTCAGATTGCTTTTTATTATGAAATGCCCATTCCTTTATTTCTGCTATTTTTGTAGCAGTGTATGGAAGTGTATGAGAGCATTTTTATTTTATTCATTCAGGTGATGTGGGTGTTGCTGGCTGGACATTATTTAATACACATCTCTAATTGCCCCATGAGAAGCTGGTGGTGAGCTGCCGCCTTGTCCAAACCAGAACAAAGCAGTCTGTTCGACTTTCAGCCCATCCCCACTTTCAGCATTCACTCACTTCGCCACCAATGTAGAGTGATAGCAGTGCCTATCACCTACAAGATTCACTGCAGCATCTCACCACTGTTCCTTTGACTATGGCTTCCAAGCTCATGACCCCTGCCACCTAGACTGGCACGGGCAGCGCATGCATGGGGGAACCACGACCTGCAAGTTATATTGCAAGCCCCACAATATTCTGACTTGGGAATACACTCACCCACCCTATTCCCCGCTCCATCACCCCTGAATTGCAGCAGTTCAAGAAGGCAGCTCACCACCACCACCACCTTGAGGGCAAAAAGTGATGGACAATAAATGCTGTCTTCACCTATGATGCCTGGGTCCCATGAACAAATAAATAAAAAAGATGCTGCTTGACTCAATTCTGTGAGCATTTTCATGTCTAATTTCGGAGTCTGCTTTGATTTGCATAGGTAAAGTGGGCTAGAGAAAACTACCACCATAGTATTGGTTCTCCCTATTCCCTACGTCTGGCATCAGCAGATACTGTAGGAAAGATCATTGTTTGGGATGTTGCTACTGGAGCAGCTCGATGTGAGATTCAGGAGTACACCAAACCCATTCAAGGTAAGAGATTGAAGTTGTAATAAAAACTGATGTGCTGCAAGCCTACTGAAGTTTACATAAATACTGCATGATGACATTGTAGTAGTTGATTATACTCTGCTGAGCCAATTTTTTTATTGTACAATATAAGATTTAAGTGTTGAAGTTTTCCTGATGCACTGATCTTCACAGCTGTCTACAAAAGTCCAAATTTATAGTCCTTGCCACAGCAAACCATTTACTTAAAGCCCTTCAGCTAATTCTCACTATTTCTTTGTTAGAGTGATTTACCTGATGGCTGACCCATTGAAGTTTAATAGTGCTAGGATGTCTTACGCTGATAAAATAGAATGACAAAGCCTTTTAATTTGTTTTTGAACTCTCAGATTCTCACCTTCAGTTGAATTTACAAATACTTTACTTGTATGCTGTTTGTAAAGGTTAATAGTTCTCCAGTTTTATTGTAACAAGCAAATCTTGGCAGATGGAAGCTTTCGTTATTATGATAGAACCTAGTGTGCTTTTGCAAGAGACAAAGCCAAAGTATTTGCAATGATTGCAGCCAAAAGAATTGTGTAGAGAATCCTATTCTGGATTTTATCAAAGATATAAACATTTAAATTCCAATATACAGCTATATTGGTGGTATAGTAGACAGTTAAGAACGATATCTAAGATTACAAAGAGAGCTTGATCAGTTGGGTCAGTGGGCTGTGGAGTGCAGATGGAGTTTAATTTGACAAATGTGAGGTCTTGTATTTTGGTAATACAAACAAGGAGAGGACTTATACAATTCATGGTAGGGTCTGGATTGTGCTGTAGAACAGAGACCTAGGTGTTCAGGTGCATAATTCTTGAAATTTGCATCACCGGTAGACAGGGGTAGTTAAGAAGGTGTTTAGCATGCTTACCTTCATTGCTCAGATCTTTGAGTATAGGATGTTGGTGAGGCCTTTTCTGGTTTGCAATTCTGGTTGCCCCGTTATAGGAATGATATTATTAAACTTGAGAGTGTTCAGAAGAGATTTACAAGGATGTTGCCAGGATTGGAAGGTTTGAGATGTATAAAAATAGACTGGAAAGGCTGGGACTTTTTTTTAAACTGGAACGTAGGACTTTGAGGGGTGATCTTATAGAGGTTTATAAAATCATGAGGGCCATAGATAAGGTGAACGGCAGGTGTCTTTTCCCTAGGGTTGGGGAGTTCAAAACTAGAGGACACATTTTTAAGGTGAGAAGAGGA